AATTTTAATCTCGAATAAGTTATTTCTGCTAAAATACTGGAGTTTTTTGCAAGTTTATCGGACTTCTTATTGTTGCTAGCAAATGTAATGTACAAAATGATAATTAACTATGCCAGCTACAGAGCTGAGCAGCGCTACTTTTGAATGTAGCGGCCGCTATACTGCTACATGCTCTAAACGTAGCGGGCGTTACTGCTACCGCTACAATTGCTTTAATGTAGCGCCGCTACCGCTACCGCTATTGCCCACCTCTGGTAACAACTAACATGTTGACACTAGTAACAGGCTGAGGTTGACAACATTACACCGAAATCTTTCGTACAGTTTTATTCTGTAATTTATATTATGTATGTATCATGCTGGTTTTTTAATAATATTTAATACTATCAAGTAAAATCTAAAGGCTTTATCTATAAATGTAGCGGTAGCGCTGTGGCGGCAAAACCTCGTATCGCTACTTAAATATGTAGCGGGTACCGCTACTGAAAATGAAGCGGCCGCTACTATAAGCGGCCGCTACATGTAGCGCGCTACTGCCCACCTCTGGCTATATAATATCATCGATATTTTGCGCTCAAAAGACTAAATGGATCATATGGTCGCATTTAATGTTGGGGTCTCGTAAGACCAAGTGGACTGAAATGTCGCCTTACATTTTTTTCAATATAAAAGGTTCAATTTTCCATATTCATCTATACACTACTCAGTGACCGTAATCACTAGAAATTATAAGAAAAAAAAAATTTTACGTGCCTCGAAAAATGTGGTCATTATATATAGTAGTAATAGTAAGTATTATATATAGTAATTAATATGGTAATTTCAGGATTGCGCGCAAGGGCGCCTCTCGAAATTTACGAACAATACCTGCAAAAAGTTATTGGATGAGAGCTAAATTTCTTTGAAGCGCTATATTATCTAGATTTCTGCATTATTTTACTGATATTCCGTTCAATAAACCAGTGCAGCAGTAAAAATACACATAAGTGGGCTCGCGGAGAAAGACGTTCAACTTCAAAGATACAAATAAGAAAGAGGGAATAGTAATGTAGCATATTTTATAACTCAAAAACGTTTGGGTTAAAATCATCTCTCAAATTGGAAACAAAAATTGTCTCAAGAATGTAAATCAGCGATTAAATTAGTCTGGCACGGCAGCTCACTCAAGTAAACAGACTAAACATAAGAGAGACGGAGGAAAAGCAAACCTGATTGACCATCAGCGCTGACGTAATCAGTCTGCACTCAAATATTTTTGTAGTGAAGCACCTGAAGCTATGTCCTTTAAAACTTTGTACCGACGACGAGAGGCAAACGAAAAAACGGGGCTATAGTTTTCAAAGAGAAAGCTTTGGAGTCGCCTTACGCTTTGCTGCATCATTGCTGTAACAACTCGAGACATTTTTGCGTTTCGATTTCTTCTGTTCTTGTTGACACTATTATTTAGGAACTCAGACACATTTAAAAATCTCATGCTCAACCAAAATTAGAGTCTATGCTGTGTTTACAACTTCCAGCCATGCTTACGTAAACAATGACTATTATTTGCATTACTCAGCATTAGTAAAAAGTAATCAAAAATGCCAGTGACTTTTATCCTCTGAACAAACACAAAGGGTTAATTTATACAAAGAAAGCAAATACTTGACATGCTCACGCACAAACACACAAAAAGAATCCTACCTCTGGAACTCTTTACATTGATTTATAGCAATACAGTTCGCAGTTCCTGGTCTTTCTTCTTCGCCTATCAAAGATCGATAAAAAAAACAGAGTACGGTTTTTAGCGCATTCTCTCATTTATGAAATAAATGCACTATTGTGCTCGCCATGTCCGTCTTTCCGTCTGTCTGTCCGTCCGTGACTTCACGTTTTCGTCGACGAAAAAATGCGCTCTCTGTCATTCACTGCAGTGAGTACTGAGTTATATTTTTATATAATTTTTATGAGCTGTTTTGACTGAAATTGTTTACTCAATTCTTGATGATGTGCGAAAGATCTCGATTAAAAACAAGCATTGCTTTGAGATGATGTATAATGTTTTGTGTGGAGAAAGTACACATCTGGTGTATAGTCAATTCATAGTCAGCGTATTTATAGATCTAGAACAAAACAGTGCAAATCAACGTAAAGCAATTCATGCAACGGTTGCCGTAAGCGGTTATCTTTTCTGACTACTTCGATCATGAGGAGAATTCGTTTTACCAACTTTTCTGCGAGCATTGCACATTTACTTCTTCAGAATTGCATTTACATCAAGAATTGATGTAAATGAACGCAAGAAATTTGGGCAAAGGCTTCAAACAAAGCATTCATCTGTTCAACTGAATTAATGAATCAAGGTTCCGAAACAATAATAAATTTATTTCGAGTACGTTGATTTAGGTCATAATGACCTATTATGTACATATTATGAAAAACGTATAACTAGGTCACAGACACAAAATTGATACAAGTTTAAGGACTCTAAACAGATAATACATAATTTTGGAGAAGATTATTATCGCTACGATTGAACTTCATCACACTGATATACGGCAGTGTGATGTACTGATATAAGCATACGTCTAGACATACGCTAAGCATACGTCTAGACATACGCTAAGCATACGTTTAGACATACGCTAAGCATACGTTTAGACATACGCTAAACATTTCCCCTAATACATTCATGGGTTATTGCAACCTGGCAATTACGTGTAATATTTCTCGCGCAGTTTCCATGAGCCTTTAAAATGTGCACGAATAAGTTCATACGCAAGCAATATTCAGTTCAATAAACATTTATAGCTTAGTTTACGATATTTTATTTTATATATCAGTATTTAATTTATATTAATGTCTAATTTCAAGTAAATGCCTAATATATTGTTTACATACCCTATTCATATTTCAAGGAAGTAAAGATCATTTGAATTGGAATTTCTCATATGTGATCTTGACTAGTTTATGCATTAAAATTTTTTGTGATGTATGTGAAACTGAGATTAGAAAACGAGGTGGAGAGGAATAACTATCTTATTTCATGGATCGAAGATAATTCACTGCAAATTTATTGGTATGAACTTGTATAATTATTCCATGATTCCCCAAACGTTGACATTAATTCATTTTGGTGTCGCGTGAAAGTTAAATCATTGCGTGTCGAGCAAAAACTCTTCAGTTTATGACAAGAACTTTTGGGAACGCAAACTGCCGTTTAATTCACGTCGTATAATATACTTATAAATATTACTTATTCGTAAAACTTCAGGCAGTTATTCATGTGCTAATATACGGAATAATTCTCCAAGATGTACAAAATTACGTGCAGACATTCCGATAATGATCCGATGGTTATTTTCAAACCTACTATAGTTAGCTATAAATTTTTTGATAATTTTATGAGTGGCATTCTGACTGAAAAAATGCCATTTCTAATTTTTTTCTATCGGGCCATGGGCCTGTTTCTTCAACGCCGACACTTCTATTCTATTCTATTCTATCGTATTCCATGATGAAAATTGGGTTTGACTGATTAAATAATTTATATTTTTGAACATTTGAGTTAAATGCTATTTTGTGATTCCTTATTTAATTGGGAAAGATAAATAGTAGGCGAAATAGTATGTGAATTATATTTTTCGTGGAATATGAATGAGCTTGGGTAACCGGTAATGTAGGACTTTTCCAACCTGAATTTTGTAGCCTGATCGGCTAAAAATACAACGCAAAGTGGACTCGTATCTCGCAAGAATAGAATAAATTATTTTACGCTCTTTGTCAATGTGTGAGTCAACTTGACTCAATTAGGCTGGGCAATATGGCGTATCGGTATCAATGCTACGTGAAAATGTTAGCAAATTAGAGCGCCATAACTCGTTAATTTTGCTGAGTCACAACTGCAGCAATGAACGCTGTGCCTGGTGAGAGTGTGGCGCCCACGTTATTTTGTGTCCCGTTACAGAAGGTAATCTCTTAGGGTTACATTTTCATCATAAAAGAGAGAGAAAATTATATTTCATTTCTAATTATTAAAATTATGGTGCGCGCTCGTGATATGTTCAGGAATCCATGTTTTGAAATACACGAAGAAGAGGTTCTCAAGCGCCTGGTAGCTCAAAATCCCAACAAGTCATGTGGACCAGACGGCTTCCATCCCAGATTGCTCAAAGAATTAGCATTTCGATGGTTTTCCTTCAAAACTACTGTTGTTAGCCATCAAATTTTTACTTTGCCAAAAGAAGCATTCTAACTAAGAAAATCCTATTTTCAATTTTTTCTATCATAATACGAAATGACAATTAGGATTTATAAATAGATTGATTCCAGACTTCCCAGCATTTGAGTTGCGTGCTATTTTGAGATTCAATATTTTACTTAGGAAGAAAAACTGTAGACAAAATAATATATCACTGTCAGGCCGTGTTGTTAGATATCGTTCAAATTTCGATAAACTTTCCAACCTGAAATTTTGCTGCCTGATCGGCTATAAATGCAACACTTACGTTACTCGTACCTCGCAAGACTAAAATAAATTATTCAACGCTCTTTGTCAATGTGTGAGTCAACTTGACTCAATTAGGCTGGGCAATATGGCGTATCGGTATCAATGCTACGTGAAAATGTTAGCAAATTAGAGCGCCATAACTCGTTAATTTTGCTGAGTCACAACTGCAGCAATGAACGCTGTGCCTGGTGAGAGTGTGGCGCCCACGTTATTTTGTGTCCCGTTACAGAAGGTAATCAGTTAGGGTTACATTTTCATCATAAAACAGAGAGAAAATTCTATTTCATTACCAATCATTAAAATTTTGCTGCGCGTTTGTGAATAGAAACTTTCAGAAATCCTAAACATGTGTATAATTTAGTCAATTTTTGGTTGTCAATTCTTCGAGATTACACCTGATTAATACTTACCGTCCATATTGCTGCTACGGAGAGAGTTGCACTTTTCCAGTATATTGGCATATAATATATATTATATTGGCTTTTTGCAATATATTTGGGTACGGAGCCAGTCACAGATATTGGCCGACACGGCGCCGACATCCCTGGCCTCTTGGTGGCTTGTCAGCGTCAGCAACTGCACATTTCTCCGTCCGAAGCCTGCTCGGCTGCAACATTTAATTTTTAATATTGGGCAGATATAAAAATTAGGACCGGATTACGTATGTACCAAATAAGAAACGGCATTTATATCAATAATTCAAATAATCACGCGAAATGAGTATGACGCTCTTATTTAACAATTGTCAACTCATTTATTATTTGAATATTGAATTTATATATGAAATCATATCGTAAAGAAACATAAATCATCTTTCCGTGGGAATGTACGACAATATGTTCAATCCAAATTTCGATGATTAACTCAAATAGTTTGAACAAATCATTTATCACTACAGAACAGCACAAAGACAAATATTTTGGAAAATACTGACAACAATTTTGTTATTTTTCTGATTATAAATTCATATTTTATAACAAAACCACCATTCTCGGCAAAACTGACGGATTATTGTCAGCATCAAGAGTTTGACACTGAAGACCATAATTTATTCATCAAAAAATAATATAATTATTAATTAATGACATTAATGTCTTTGTCCCTTGGAGTGTCAGACCTAAGCTGGTCTGACATCATCTCTCCAAAAATCACTTTCCACTCTCAGTCATAGCAGCAGTCACCCCCGTTGACAGACCCACTATCATCACAATCCATTCGTCTCCAATTCTCTCATACATCACACTCATCTCTCTCATCCAGTATCACTCTCATCATTTCCAGTCTCTCCCGCTCATATGCATCACACTCCATCATGAGATGCTCCACAGTTTCCCTCTCACCTCTGTCACACATAAAACAAATATCCTCTCTTCTCTCATTCCACTTGTATGTCCGCGCATTCACACTCAAAGCATTTGCTCTCACACAGAACATTAGGTCTCCACCTCTACTGCCATCATATATGTACTCATAATTTGGTATCTCTTTCATCTTGTACAATCTCAGGCTGTTCTTTCTCCCAATTAATTGCTTCCATTTTTCAATTTTAGTAACTTTATTAGTTTTTTTAAAGCGTACTCTTGAATTCTAAAAAATATTGTTTACAACTAAAGCAAATATTCTTAAGTTTTCTGAATTTATGGTTTCCAAGAATATTTTTATCAGATCTCATGTACGATCATGAAAAGGAAGGAAACGAAAGCAAGTATTAATAACAAATGTTCTTCATGGACATGACTATAATAAGACCTGTAGTACCAAAAATTTAAAGTAATTTTTACCTTTTCGTATTTATCTCCCACATATTTGGTTCTCAGAGCCCGGATAGCCTTAAGGAACACATTAAATGCACAGTAACATAGAACAAGTGCTAGCAGAATAAAATCAAGGCTGAGGAACTCTATCCAGGACAGGTGTCGCGCTGGGGACTTGAGGTGCGACGCTCCCCGGAAGCGAGCCGCATACTCGGTCCAAAACACCGCGCGATCTAGCGCCGTGTCCTTTTGGTCCCGGAACACCCGGGATACGAAGGCCATCTTTTCCCCGTAACTGCAATGAAATGATTATTAATAATGCTTAGAGCATTTTACAACCGCAGCGTGACTCTAAACAACCTCTTTGAGTTGACAACGTTGATCATAGAAGTGCTTTAAATGAAATCTCAGAGAATACATTATCAGATATACATCCCAGATTAATATATATTTCGGCCGCAACAAGTGAAATCCGAGATGCGGTACCGATCGACTGCCAGTACTTATTCAAGTATTTACATTGTTAATACTTGATAATTAACGAATCATTTAACGATAGGTTAATTGTTGTTAATAAGAATGAAAGTAATGTGTGCTTATCAAAGAGGGACTCGTTCAAACCCATATTTTTCACCGGTCATTTTTCAGATGCACTAATTTACTCTCGTTTTGAAATATTAAAAAATCTATTATGGGTCTTTGGAACTGAAGTTATTAATTACTATTTTAATTGGCGATCTGATTTTAAGCTTACCGTTTTGCATCTATATTAGTCTCCCATTAGGAGAAAACTTCAAGTCCAATTATCGTCGAGACAAGGTAATCGTATCGTGGAGACGCACTCACATCAGCCCCGATATTTTTCGAAAGCCGAGCATCAAACATAAAAACCAACATAAAATATACATAAAATGACGCAATTCTTGATTCATTACCTTGGATTGGTCATGATTTCCATAACGGCGTCACGTAAGATCTCCTCAGTTAGGGTGAGCCAGGACAGCTGGATGGCTGCACCAGCCAGCACTAATTTCCCCGCCATGGCTCCGTGCTCGTGGGTCGCGGGGAGGGCGATCACAGGCACGCCGTGGTAAACAGTTTCGTAGACGCCTGCTAGACCGCAGTGGCTAATGAACAGCTTCACGTTTGGATGCGCTGTAATAAATCAAACAATGATCATTTTTTTACGCAGTATTTCAGCAAATACAACATCGTGCACCTACTTTATTGAATGACCATGGGAAAAAAGTATCCTACAAGGAAATTTGTGTACGAGAATACATCTAACAAATTTTGTACCCAAATAGAATTAGTATTAAAGGCAGAATTTGCTTGTTTACACACGTGCGATTAATGATCAGAGAATTCATTTATTGTTACCTGATCATATTTATGATCAGGTAACCTTCTTCAGGTGACGGTCAATCGAAAGGCAGGTGTGAGAAAGTAATTTCAATTTATTCACATTTCGAATGCAACAACCTTTATTTTAATACAGTAAGAAGAATCGAATAATGAAATTTTGCTGAAAATAAGTACATAATACACGTAAATACAATACAACAGGAAAATCTGGAATCAGAAAATCCCTCTGAAGCAATCTCAGAATTCAGAAAATCTGGTAGTTAGTGATTTATAGCTGGAGTCCAATCCATAGAGATGATGACGATGCTGGTGGGTTCCTCCAGCACAGAGCGTTTGTCGGTGTGGTTGTGAGCTTGTCTGCCGTGGTTCACATGTCCTCCGGGCTGAGGGTATAGCTAATGAGACAGCGGCTCGATATCCTGGTTGTTAGTCCAAGCTCTCCAATGTAGTCCAAATAATGAAGAAGTCTACAACTTTCTTATAAGTAAAAATTTTCAATCATGCTTCAAAGAGGGTTGCAGACTTTTTCTTTATTTGGACTACTTTGGAGTAACAAGCCCGACAATGAGCAGCCGTTTCTCGTGCCACCTAAGACAAGCTCACAACCAGAGCAGCAGGTCTCAAAGCATTATAATCGAGCAACATCATCTTAAAATTCTCGATGAAGGCAAAAGGCTTCGTGACGCCCTTGACAGCAACGTAAAACTCCGAACTATTTGTCGCAATGGCCGCTGTACAAAGCGTGAGTTCTCCAAGAGAATCTTCTATAGTCTGTAACTTTACTATAGTCTTTAACTTTAGTTTAGTTTGTAACTTTAGTATTGTCTATAACTTTAGTATAGTCTGTATCTTTAGTATAGTCTATAAATTTTGCTTCATAGAATGTTGTAGACTTTCTTTATGATTTGGAATATATTGGACAGATTTGACTAACAACCAGGACGTCGAGCCGCTGTCTCATTAGCTACCCTCAACCCGGAGGATAAGTGAACCACGACAGACAAGCTCACAACCACACCGACAAACGCTCTGTGCTGGAGGAACCCACCAGCATCGTCATCATGCAGTGGCCCAACAAAATCCGACCGACGATAGATGAAGCCTTCATCTCTACGGATTGGACTCCTGTTAACTCAACACCACCTGATTTTCTTAATTCTGAGATTGTTTCAAAGATTTTTTGTTATAGATTTTCGTGTTGCATCATATTTACGTGTATCATGTACTTAGATCCATCGAATTTTTATTATAGAATGCTTCTTGAAACTTGAGAATGTATGTTGTTGCATTCGAAAAGTCGTTAATACATTGAAATTACTTCCTTGAAACTGCCTTTTGATCAATCAACGTTATCTGAATATATGTTCGGCTTCCTGAAAATTTAAATCAATGAATTATCTGATCATTAATTACGTCAGTGAACAACCATATAGAATTAAACAGTGAAATGATTTTTAAGTACAAAGATGTAAATTTATATTACTTTTCCTGCTTAGATATAACGAGAATCTATCAATATTCAAAAGCCTTCTAACATTTCAGTATTTTTAGATATTCTTTGTAGATTCTTTGCTTGTCCATACACATTCATTATGACTTTGTAGGGAAGCTTCTTGGAGACTGAGAGTAGAATATCCTTCATGTCTCGAGGAATCGAGTCTTTACGTATGAACGATGCACCATAACTAAAAAAACTGCGTTGCCATATATAACCAATGTGTTGCCAGACACGAAGTCTAATATGTTCTGAAATGAAAATTTATTGGATAAGTTATTCAAATGCTGTGAAAGTGTCTTCATATTATTTTCAAAAATTCTTTTAATGTAGTACAGTAAACTGCTATTTTCTGTTAACAAAGGACACCGAGGACTTAAATAGTCTGGATCGGAAAATTTACCCGTTATAACATTAGAATGAATGTTCTTTAACAGAATGTATCCACTCGCGGTTTATATGGCTGGACTGCCAACATACAAATGAACGTTTTTCTTGTAATGTTATTATTTCTTCGTATTGTGTTATTGCTATGTAACTTGATTTTATTTACGCTACTCATGTACTTATAAAGTAGTAAGTAAGAAACCTTGGGTAGAGGTTGTGGCGGCCACAGCACGAGTCCGGCGATGGGCACCTGATTAGGTAGCAGAGCCAGCGGACCATCCAACGCCATGCTGGACGTCACGAGATGCAAGCTCGCATTCCGTTCGATTTCTTTGAATGAAGGAAGCCAAGGGAAGCGTTCGCTCATCTGTATAGATCAAATGAGTTCAATTCTCCGTTGCGCATGCCACTTTATATGTAGATAAACTAATAATTTAATCGAGTCAAAACTGGCAATACTGATAAGAAATTCATTGCGATTAAGGATTTCGGCTGATCTCGGTGTCAAGGAATTGATGTGAAGTTGACATGTTCGTTCGATTAAAATTTCAACGAATTTTATACTTTTCATCATTTGCTAACATCTATGATTTCCGGTCTCTGTGCCATGGCAGCGAGGTTGCGAAAAGAAACACGGAATTCCTCGTGACCATTAATTAATGTTACACTTCTTATATGTCTCTTTTTTGAATAGTTGGAATATCCTTGATGATACCCTGCCCAATTCCTTTCTTGCTATTGAACACCACGAAAATCTTAATTTAAATGCTGATATTTTAATGTATTAGGCGCTTACAAGGGTCTCACCACTATTTCTGATTGGGAGTGGATAGCCCAATAAACGTAGCACTGAGCCATAGTCAGTACAATGTTCTTGAGCCGGTCGAAAGTTCCATAAGGTTGCTTGAATTCCATGAGAGCACTTGAAACGAAAGCTGGATTTGGGACATTCCCCTGGTTCCCCAAGCTTGCGCTCTGACATGGCAGGAGAGGTGAGCACGACAAGATTGCGAACGGCGTGCCGTGCGCGAAAGGGTAAAACATCTGCGAGTGTGATTACGTTACATATAATAATAGAATGTTATCGAAGTATTTTTATCAGTAGTTTGATTATAATAGCACATTAACGAAGAACCTAAAAACAGAGATAGCATTAGTACGCGTAAGTTGAGCAAATCTTTATTCGAAATAAAACATTTCAGAGACCAGCTCTATCACCTCTTCAAACCTTACAGATTACAAAAACTAAGGGAAGAAGGCAAAATTTTCTTAGGAAGAGATTAAAACGTAGCTCTAAAAACATATCATCCATTATACTCTACTAGCGGTAAATGGCTTCTAATAAATTAGTTATTTATTACAACCAACATATTAAATGCAACTAAAATGCAGAAAATTCAACCCATATACGATAGTAACATAGCTATTCGGCTCGTTGGGCTTAACTATTTCATTGTGAGTCGAGATTTATTAATTGAAAAAATCACGTCTAAAAAAAGAAGTTAATAATTTAACTGAACTTCGCGTTAAAACAGAAAAAATGGCGTTTTGAATTTATGAGAGCCTCTATGATTTAAAAAAATTCATATCATACCGGATTTAAAAATCAAACATATGTTTTCATGACATTCAAATTAAGGAGAGCTGAGCGTTTAAAGTTTTCATGATCTTTCTGTTTTAAAAGGAACAGAGTTTAAAAATCTAAAGCAAAGTAACATTCACGAAAGCTGATGATTTATTGATCCTTTAATTAATTATTGAGAGAAACTTACCGACAAACCCAAGTGATCAATCACGATCAAGTCCTATTCTCCCCGACGCTCGAAGATTTTCATGGTTTTGTCTGAATTGAACATTTTCTCTGCATCGTTTGCTGCCGCATTAGTGAAAGTTTTCAGAAGCGAAAGGGGATTTCGCACGACGTCAAACGTGTCGACATCTTCAGGCGCGGAAAGTCTAACGCCATGATTAATGCACGTCACGTTAGGGATTTTGAATTGATTCCTAGAGTCGCAGAACATGTGCACCTGAGGGGAAATATGTAACTAATTCAAGTCTCCGCAGCCCTAAGTAATATTTGAGAGTATACCCTGTCAAAATTTAGCCGCGGCAGACGGTCTGGTTTCGGTTGTCAGTCTCGGATTAGAGATGATTCAGATGTGAAATGGCCGCATCTCATAATTAGCTGCCCAGTAGGAGCTATTTTGGGTAGTTTCATGGGAAAAAATATAAGGGTCAAATGACACACGAAATCAGCGGCTGGCCAGGCCACCATTGGCTTACCCTGCTCAGTAGCTGGCCTGAGTTCTTATAGCGCGAGCGCGACTAGCCCCCTGTCATTAGTTGTGGCGCTGCATATGTGCATTGTGCATGGGTACGAACTTATCAACACGCTAGCGTTTCAACACTCTTGCATTGCGTGTACGTAGACATGCTTGCGTTGCGTTATCTACAACACGCTTGCATCGAGTGCGTGTTGCTCCTGTCTCTTATACACATCTAGATGTGTATAAGAGACAGCCCCAAGCTCGACGGGTATTTCAAAAGATTCTCTTTCGGCGCTTATTTCGCTCCGGCAACCGGAACCTAAAGCGGACATAGAGCTTCTAATTTACACCGCAAAAAGAATTTGGGGCGACCCTGAGCCAGCGGCTGACAGGCATCCAAATTTTGATAGGGTAGATTTGCAACGGTTAAGTTCACTCCACCTGTCGCGATGAAACTATTGATGGTGTTATACGATGACCAGCTATGAGATGGGATTCCAAATCAACCACGCAATTAGTTAATGGCCTTATTCAACAAAAATAATATTTAAACTTTTACACTAAAATTTTAATTGTTGATATTTATTTAAAATTTGCGTATATCCTCGTTCAATTTTAAATTTTTACTTTAAAAATCAGATAG